AGTTTTCAACTCTTTTAATTCCGTTTGTGTCATTCTATATGGTGCCTTATAAATCGGAGTCATTTCATGTTCAAGTCCAATCTTGAACTCGATCTTCTTTTTATTGGCACTCCCAATAAAATTTTAAGAAAACTATTCAAGAAATCCCTTACCACATCAATATCCTACAATTTCAAGTTCCCCTCCTTTACAATGTACACCATGTCATAATCCAATTTTGGACCCCTATAATTATTTTAGAAATTCCTTTTATGTTATTTTATGATTATTATAATTTTTATTTTATCATTATCTTTTTTGAAGTTTAGCTTTATTATATTTGACATTTCAAAAAAATGAAAATTAAAAAAACAAAAAGGAATGGAAAGAAAAGAAAATACCAAAACTAATTTGCACTTTTAGAGGCTCGATAGGACTCATCCGCTGGATGAGTATGGTTCACCATACATATTATGAAAACCCCGAAGTACCTATGATGGGATATATCCAATGACAAAAAAGGATTTTCAAGCTGATCATGAAAAGGATTTTATACTAGCATACAAATGATTTATATATGTATTTTCATCTACATGCATAGCATGCATTAGTTAACTTATCGAGCTATCACTCACCTATTTACTTATGGTGTAGCTAATACATGTAAAGATGGTAATGTTCACGTTTGAGCTGACTATTGAAGGAACCGTTTGATGCATATATATTGATTGTAGTTGAAAGATGGATCTAGTGCACACCTTAACTGTTCTAGTATCGAGTATACTAGTTTATTTTTTACTTATGTTTGTGTTTTTTCTATATAATCGTTAAAACAATCAAAGAGTAGATGGCTAGTTAGAAGAAATGAATATAGATAAATAATAAGTCATTTTTGTAGTAAGCGGCATTGAATCGGTTTTGTATGTTAAAAGTAGTTTGTATGTAAACAAAATATGAGTAGTAAAATAATAGTATAGTTGTAGCTAGTGTAGTTTTCTTTAAGTTAATTATTCTCATGCCGATATTATCGGTACAATAAGGTAATAAAAATTAAATAGAAAATAATTTAAAATAAATGGTAATTAATGAAAAGAAATAATTAATTAATTATCGAGTAATGGATCATGACTAAATAAATTTATATAAGTTAATAAAAAAAAGAATTTGAGAAAATTGAATGTCACGGATCCAATCATTTCAGTCCAAAGGTTTTAAATAAAATAATAAAAAATGTAAAAAATTAATAGTGTATTTTGAACTAAAACGTAGGACCTAATCGTCATTATTAGACTTTCATAGCGTGATTTATACCTAGGAGTATTATGAATAAGTCACGGTGCTTTGTTAGCTTGCATTCATTACACTTCGAATGTAGGTTAATGATGATAATATTTTTAATCCATTAGGTCCTAGGTTTGGGGTTTTACAACATATATCACCATGAATACGTTATAAAAATACTAAAGAGTCAATTCTAATTTTATTTGGTGATGGCTTAATAATAAGTTTACCTTGAGAACATGCATGACATGAAAATTCATTTGATTGAAAAATCTTTTGGTTCTTCAATGGACGCCTATATAAATTTTCAATAATTTTTTGTATCATAATGAATCCAAGATGACTCAACTAGTCATACATAAAATAAGAGAAATAGTAAACTTCTAGTTTACTTTAGTGTTTTTTTCAATAATTCGAATATTTATGAAGTAAATACCAAAACATAAAGTAGGTAATTTCTCCAATACATATTTTCTACTTGATGTAATTTTTGTAATATATAAGTATTTAATATTCTCAACATTTGTTGTCTCGATACGATATTCAATTGGCGAATATCTTTAAAACTCAACAAATTTCTATAGGACTTAGGAGAGAATAATGCATCATTTATAATTAAATTTGTCCCTTTATGTAATAATATATTTGCTTTTACGGAGCCTTCAATTAAATTGACACTACCAAATATATTGTTAACATCGACCTTGTCCATCATTAAATTAGAAAAATAAATTTTATTTTTAAGTATAGTATGCATTATTGCATTATCTACAAGGCATAAATTCGCATTTATGATGTTCAAACCAATTGTGAACTTGGTAGTATCCATATATTCTTCACAAACACAAAAATAAATAAATAAATATATGACAAAAAAAAAAATAGTAACCATCATGATGCAATAGAAATTATAAGAAAACATAAAAAATTTTATTTATCAATAGAAAAGCTAACAAGACATTAATTTCAATGATTATCATTAATCTAATGATCTTTTCTTTCATAATCTTTACAAAAATCAACAACATCTAAATGGGTCAAATTATTAAAACCATTAAGAAGAATAACATTGTCACAATCATTATTTTGATACATAAAATTTACCTCTATATGATTTTTTTCATTGAGGTGTTTTATCATACGATAAGTACACGACCAATGTCTCTTCATAGCATATCTATAACATTCATTTTCGAAATACTCGACTTAATCTATTTTTATTCTTATTTCTTTTTATAGTTTATCCACTTCGATGGTGAGGTGTATTATTATAACCATTACGATTATAACGATAATTATTCGACCATGACTATAAATATGGCCACGACTATGTCCTTGTCCATACCAAAAATTATTATAAGATGTCACATTTACTCTAGGAAATAGAGTAGCTCCAATTGGGCTTGATTCATGATTTTTCATCAATAGCTCATTATTTTGTTCAGCCCAAGTAAGCATGAAATCAATTTAGAGTATTTCTTAAAACTTTTTTCTCAATAATGCTATTATAAGAGTATATTCGAGCATGAAAAATAGAGAATCTTTTTTTCTAACATATTTGAATTAGTAATATTTTCTCCACATAATTTTAGTTGGAAATTGATTCTAAATACTACGGAATTATACTCACTTACTTGTTTTGAAATCTTGTGATCTTAAGTGCATCAAATCATGAATTACCATCTTTTGGTGGTTGCACCTTTCCTTTAAATTTTTCCACAGTTCAAATGGATCACTTATTGTTAAATATTTAGTTTTCAAATCCTTATGAAGATAATAACGAAGGAAGATTCTTGATTATCATCCATGATTGTTTGTCCAAGACCATTAGCATTTAAATTCATATCATTATCAAGCACCCATGATAAATAATTCTTGCTCGAAATGTCAAGGGCCATAAAATCAAGATTTGTGAGGTTTGATATGATAAAAATTCTATAATACAAGATATAATAATAATGTTAGAAAATAAGAACAAACATAATAATAAAATCTAAATTTTTCAAACACCATACATTAAATCATTAGAATATATATGAGATCATTTAAGTTTTTCAAATATATATTATATGTATCACTAGATTTAAAGTAAAAGATAAATTAGATACATATCTTTTAATAGTCTAGATGATTTAGGTCTTTTGGTAGAGCACTTATGTCGATAACATGTTGAAAAAATAATAATTATTACAAAAGATTGTTACGGTAATGGTAAAAAAGATTGAAAAAAAGATGATAAAAAAATAATTTTATTATGAAATAAAAAAAATACAAGACGTAATATCTCCAAACAATTCTCTCAATCTCTACAAAATATTTATCATCAAACTAATGAACAATCAAGCCTATTTATAGGCTTCAAAATTAGAAAGAGAATTAAAAGGGACTATGAATAATTTAAAATACATATATTATTAAATCAATTGCATTATCTTTTAATTTTTCATAATGAATGATAAATTAAATCACATTAAAAATTATTAATAATAGAGATATCAAAAATATATAAACATTCATATGAACTTTCATTATTTCATAGAAGAAATGTATTTAAAAAGTAATAATTGTCCATATATATAGTTTTTTTCAATCATGTAAGATAAAAATATAAGGGCTCATGATCACACGAGTTAAAATTCTAATTAATAACAAGTTTAAGTATATATTGTTTTGCTAATAATTTTTTTTTTTTAAGCCTAAAGCATGCCTTTTGAATTCGATTTAAGATATTAAATAGCACTTATAATTTATCATATAACTTTATCTTGTTAATTATGGCCCTTAGAAAAAGGTTTAGAGCCGCTTCTTGTGCTAACTATCATTAAGCTTTAAAAAACAAGATTTAAAAATATGAAGAATTATGTTTCTTATTTATATTTGTAGTTGCGTTTAATTTTTTCAAGATTACAACGACGAGTGGTAAGAAAAATTAGCCATTCAAAAATTATTATGGAAGGTCTATTTTATATATAAGAAAACCTAAAATAAAAAAGAAAAAAATACCAATTGAACGGTAATTATGAGAAGAGTCATATGGATAACATAATTAAATAGTAGAAACTTTCAATAATATAAATTATAAAAGCGAACTTATTCTTTCCGATAAAACATCATCGTTCATTCATTTATTTATTTTCAAAATGAACTTATAAACACCTTTTCTCTAGAAAATTTTTTAGCTTACAGGCCCGTGGACAAGCCACCCGAAAGCTTAATTTGAAATTAGAATACAAAAATATTATAATAGAGATTCAACCTTGGGGTCGGAAGAGATGATCAAGGGAACATAGTTGGAAGACGGTCCCAGAACCAGGCATTTGAGCGTTCCATAACTAAGTTGCCTTGCATAACTCAAGAGATCATCATCATCATGAGGAAAACCATACCAAAAGAGAGAATTAGGGGCCTGATAATTCTTAGCTTTTGGGAAATGAAATCAATAATTTTAACCATCATAATGGCAATATCAAAGGACATTCCCCCTTTTAACATACCCTTGGATGCAAGATGCGCCTAAAGCTACGTCCATAAAACAAAGAACCAACTTTATACATGGGCTGGGATCACAAGAATCTCCATCAGGTGAGCTAAAAAAAAAAAAAACAGAAACATCAGAAGGAATCCAAACATCCCATATCTACCTATCCACCTTTGAACACCATAAGAGACCCTTAAACAGTACAGAGAGGTAGTAGGCAACAACATACAAGAGAATGACAAAAGGAAATATGCTGTTCTTCTCAAGTAGCTGCCACAACGTTTGAGGAACCAGCTGCAACAGATGATGATCCAAAAGATGCCAGCAGCCAGCCCTTCTTCTGGGCATACTCCACATAGAAATTAAATTTCTTCTCTGCATTTGGAATGTCAAGAGCCAGATCTTCCATCCCATCCTGGATACGGGTGAAGCCTTTGGTCATCTCATTGGTAGTGATCAGGCCTTCATTGAAACACACTTCAAGTAGATCCAGCATCCTGTCATTCTTCTTCTCCATTGCCATGACCAATGCCTTCTTCACCACCTCGTGGTTAAAGAAGGGCATTCCAAGGTCACGAATACATTGGCAAGCTTCACTTAAAACACCCCCACTTTCATACTCCTCCAGCAACTTCAATATCTTGTCCTTTGCATCTTCCACAGCCCAGCCAGTCCCACCTCCCCAACACCTCAGGAGCCTCTCGCCAGCATGACGAGCAGCAATAAGCGATCGAGCCATGCGCACCGTCTCACTTCCACAGCAATTTGGTGGCAACTTGCTGCCTATCTCCTCCAGATTCAAGGGGGCCAGGACGTCATCAATGACAGCCCGAGCAAGAAAGAGTGCCAGCTCATTTGAAGCATCCAAAATGTCCAGCGCTGTATCTTCTGCAGATTCAAGAAGCATGACAAAACCATTAACTATATCTTCAGTTGAAAATATCTCAATGTGAAGAGCTGAAAGCAGCACAGATGCCATTTCCTTCTCCCTGTTCTTCCTGTCCATGGCAAGAGTGATGAGCTTTTTCAGGAAAATTGGGTTGAACTCAGGCATTCCAAGATCTTCGAGACTCCGAATCAATTCAGGGATGTCATCGGAGAGAAAATACTCATGAATTATAGTCACAGCCTCCTCCTTAAACCGCTTTAATCTTTCATCTTCAGCTTGTGCCTGTCCATCTTCACCTGAAGATTTCATGAAAGAAGCATCAAGCCATCCTTCAGAGACAGCCTTGGGGACAAGGGATTGGAACAATGATTTTGCAGATGGAATGTCAAGGGCAAGGTCGTCAAGGCTCTCTGCCAATCGAGCAAAACCCTTTGCCATTTGACTGGAACTTATCAAGCCTTCTTCAGAAGCTTCCTTCAACAGCTTCAATATAAGTGGTTCTGCAGTTCGAATCTCCATGGCAAGAACCAAAGCCCTCTTAACAACCTCATGATGAAAGAATGAAACTCCTAACTCCCTTATGCACCTGCAGGCTTCAAAAGCATCTCCACTCTCCACATATTCCCTCAGCAGATCAGCTATTTTTTTCTTCACTTCCTCCACAGTGATTTGGGTGCTACCACCCCACTTCCTCTCCACAAGTTCTGCATGGTGTGGGGCTGAAAGATAGCTTTTTTCAGCAGTTTGGAGAACTTGAAATCCCTTGGAGGATTCTGGAAGTGTCTTCTTTGCTCTAGTGAGGAAAGCAGGAGGAAGGATATCATCAACCACAGCACGAGCCACGAACAAAGCAAGGATGTCAACTGCATCCAGTATGTCAACTGCAAGATCATCAGCAGACTCTAGAAGTATGACAAACCCATCCCTAATCTGGGACGGGCTGATGACATCAGCATATAGTGCAGAAAGCAGAACTGAAGCCATTTCCTTCTCCTTGTCATGCCTGTCCATGGCCATAGAAACAAGACGCTTGATAAAGTACAGATGATATTCACTAGACCCAAGTTCTCTGAGGTCAGATGCAGCCACTTCCACATCACCAGTGCTGAAGTACTCCTCTATTATTGAAGCGACAGCCTTCTTGTAGTCATCTAAAGGATCTGAGATGGTTGCCCCAACAAGCTGATACGGCTCCTGTTCAATGGTAGGATAGAAGAGAGCAATCTGTAAGTTGTGATAGGAGAGAATTGACCAAAATTGTTTGAAGGTGAAACAAAAAAGAAAGAAAAGGAGTACTACAAGACTAATAAGCTGCAGGCATATACATTTACCCAAAGCCTCAACAAACCCAAAAAGATATATTCAAAAGATTTGGGATGAAAAAATCACGTTGCAGGAACAGCACTTACCTCTCCACTATCATAGTTAGGATCATTCCGATCAATATGGGATTCACCATCAGTATCGAGCAGTTTTCCCCATGTGCCCTTACCACCGCCACCGTCTGAAACCATCAAAAAGAAGACAAACAGTCAGCATGAAGATAACTGAAAAAATTTCTCTAAAAGAGAGTATAAATTGAACTGATACATTCTTTCTTTATTGGTCATGCTTATAGGATTGTGTAAGAAAACTAATCTAAAATACACTAAGTTGTTCTCTCTTCATTAGGTTGGTTCTTCAATGACAACTAAAGATTAGTATGCATTATCCAGATGGTGTGGCCTTGCTGTTGAAGGTGCTTCACAGTCATGTGTATGGTGCACCAAATTGAGATTCAAAAATGCATAGAGCAGTCTTTCTGGGTTCTCAATCTCAAAGGAGCCATAGTCCCTCAACAGGCCAGACTCCCCTAATCCCAAAACCCCAATCATTGAGCACAAAGATACAAGACCAGTGTATATGTGGTATTCTTCAATTCCTCCAATCAGCATCATCAATATATAAACATTAGACTGCTCTAGAATAACATGCTAGTGAAATTGTACCAACGGACTAAGTATTATGGCCCTTAACTTGCACTGTGAAAGTTATATCCAGGTCACTTGCTCTGTAAAGGTTATATCATATCATAAGAATAAATATTTCACAAGCTATGCAGATCAGAGTAGGGAATGAAGACAAACTAATTAATGTATCAGCATTTAATAACTTAAATTTTATAACTATCCCTGCACTAAGAAAAAGAGCATCTCCTTAGCCATAGATGATGGTTTTATTAACAACGCTAATATCCAAAGAAGTTTCTTGGGTTCATATCTGCATTTATCACTGCTTAAAGCAGAGAATAGATGCAAAAAAATCTTGACAAAGATATAAAGATAATATATCTTCTAAATTTAAATAAAAGTCTTCCAAGACACATGTAAAAAAGCTGAATCATAAAGGAAAAATCCGTGAGCAGCATACTCATCCTTAAACATTCCAATAAATATTCTCACTTCAGTAAAGTGTCATAGACCCACAAGCTTAAACTATGTGATGGCGATTATTCAGTTCAGTAAAGCTGCAATGAGTCGTTTCAAACATTCTCAAATTGATGTAGGTTTTCAGTCACATACTCCCAGTTATCCCATTTCACTACTATTAGACCTTTTGTTCTATCCAAGCCTACTTTATTTGAAATCTAGAAAGCTAATTAAGCCATGTTCTAACCTCCATCCAATATACCACTTCTCAATCCCTCAAATACATTTAAGATAATCTAAAAACATTTCATCCCAAAATACACCAGCATAATCACATTAAATCAACAGAATGACCATAAATAGATCCAGACTCTAGTTTAATATTATTAAAAAAAAAAAAAAAAAGGAAACTACACAGCCATTAGTCATACATACAATCACACAAAACAAGCATTCCATTTCCAGCCCACCTTTCTTAACACGCACAAGCTTCCCCGAATGCGATCTCCTGACATGTCTCACAGCAATCCCGGCAGTACTCGCTTTCCCCGAAGCAGGAACTTTTAAGTGATGCTCAGAAAACAATTGTGATGGGGATTTAGGGGATGAAGACAAACCCTTGGGAGACGACGACAAAATCTCCGCATTTTGGCTCGCTATTTTTAGCATTTCCCTTTGCTCGTTCGTCAGAAATCCCTCACTCGTCGCCATTTACACTACTCCAATTCTATACAATCCTTAATTCTAAACTGCAAACTAAGTAAAAAGTAAATAAGTAAATCTCTTAACTCCTAAATAATATTAAAAATCGTATAAAATCAGTGAATAAAAATGCAGTTATTATATTTTATAGAATATATAAACAGAAAAATAAAAACTGACGAAAAATAAAGATTCAAAATGCTCACTTCCTTTCACTTTCCCTCCTTTTCTCAGTAGCCAAACGCCCCCCCAAACAGAACTGACAATATTAGAGAGAGAGAAAGAGAGAGAGAGAGAGAGAGAGAGAGAGAGAGAGAGATTGAACCTGTGAACACTTGAAGAGAGAGAAGATTAAGTCTAAGAGCCCGAGTCCGTACCCGAACCCGATACTTCTGTGCTTGGCCCGGATCTCGAGCCAAGACAGAGAGGAGAAGCAATCGGATCGCCAAACCGAACGACCTCCGATTCGAATCCAAAAGAAAAAAAAATAAGCAAAAAAAATATTGTATTCAATTCAGTAATAAAACCCTAGATGAAACGGAGGCCCGATATGAGGGGATCCTGGATTCAAGTAGTAAGAGGTAATGTATGTCTCAATCTGTTAAAGAAAGGAGAGAAAAGGAAGGAGGAAATGGATGAGCTTGAAAGACCAAAGAGTAAGTGTCTGTTATTTATAGGGAGGCTACGGTTACGGGTACACGTCATCAGGGTTTTTGGGTGTGTGAGCTCTTTGACAATCCACGTGGCGTTATTTCTACAGACTGTTGCCTGTCTTTTGTGTACGCTCGGCAGAGTTGGAACCTCTTTAGGGTTTTCTTCAACTACATCATTTACTAAACTACCCTCCATGGATTTTACTTCTTTTTTTTTTTTAATAGGTGGTGGTGATGGAATGGATAAATCGTTGGGTGAGGGAAACCTAACATGTATTCGTGTCTTTTTTTTCCTTTTAGCGTAAGGAATTAATTGGGTTTGAAATGATATGTTATCAAATATGAAGTTATGTTATTGTCAAATTAATAAGCTTCAAGAGTAGGAGGGATGTGTGATGGAGGTTCCGTTTTGAATTGAAACAAAACTGAATAGTCCCAAAGGAGGCGTCCTAGTCAAAGCAATTACAATTTGTTTTATTTTATTTCTTCCTCTCTCAAAGTTTTGATATTAGTCATGTAAATTAATGTTTTTAAGCCATTTGTTTTAATTTCATGCACGTAAACATAATATAATATTATTATTTTATACGGTACTAAGGTTAGATGTTACTGTGTGCTTGTAGAGTCAAAAAGTATTACATTCCCTAATTAATTATATGCGTGTTTTATCGAATATATGGACTAACCATGTTTTGATAAATTTACCATGGTTTTGTTAAAGAGTATATAATACCTCCGGTAAGAAAGAGAGAGGGAAAAAAAGATACGATATTGAAAAAAAAAAGAGAGATAAAAGATAAAATCATGCTATTTTGTTTTTTCCTTTGATATTGCTTTATGTTCTATTTATGAGCAGATTACAAATTGATCTCTTTATTTGTAAAAAAACAAATTGATTAGTTTTTTATTTATTTTAAAAATTAATTATTTATTCTTTTAATGATCATTTTTATTTTAAAAAATATTTTTCATATTTTTTACTTATTTTTTTCTTTTCTATTTCATAAAATAAAAAGAACAGAAATAATTAAGATACAAAAAAATTTAAAAATTAAATAAATTAGTTTTTAAAACAATAAAGATTGATTGATTAATTGGTTTCTCAAAACTAAACGAAGAATTTATAATTTATTCATCATATATGTATGTTCTCATGCTTGACAAACACTTTACTTTTAAATATTATCTTTGGGAGGTTTTTAGCATTACGTGTTCGTTGCCGGAGAAGTTATTGTCATGGGTAAATTTTCTTACGCAATGTGTTAAAAAGCTTTATCTTTTTTTTCTTGATTCACTTCATTTAGAGGAACATTCTTCAAATTGATAATGTTTTAAATGGAAGAAAAAGGGATGCTTTTACTTATTTAAACAAGGGCGGCAAATCTAACTAAAATGAAAAGGAAACCAATTCCTATAGATTGACTCTATACTAAAAGACAAGTAAGGTCACATGAGCTCAATAATGTAATAGAAACAAAATTGGTTTGCAATGGATTAGTGTTATTAGCGGTAGTTATGTCATTATTATTTTTTTTAAGTAATAATTTTTGTAATAGAAAAAAGAAGAGTTTTTTTTTTTTTGGAGAATAAGGTAGAGCCAAGTCAGAGTGAGAGTGGATTGAAAAGAAAATCAATGGGCAGAAGCTAGCTTTCTGATTCAAACAGAAGTAAGAAAACCGAATAAGTAATTCATACCAAAAAAAAGAAAAAGGAAAAAAGAAATCTCATAAGATAAAATATATATGATATGTTTAAACGTAAAGGCCTACCCCTAGCTGATTTTTTTCTTTTTGAAGTTATATATAGATATATGAAAAAAGAATAATATAAGATCCATTTTTTTTTCAAGTAGTCTGATAAGATAAAACATATATTATATGTATCAGATAATTTGTCTAATTTTTTTTTATACTACATACTCTTAATATATTAATTAAGTATAGTCATAATGTATAAAAAAATATTAAATTATTAATTTTATTAAAAATTAACTATGCATCTATACACATAATAACAACTACAAACTATTATTTTTTTTACTATTATAAACTAATTTTTTTGAAATAATTTTTTAAAACAATCACTAAATAATTCAAATTAAGTTTTTACACTAACATTATTGATTATTTTGTAAATAAATACATATATGAATCAAATGCATATATTTTTTTTAAAAAAATCTTCTTATTAACATTAAATAAAAATATTTATTTATTTATTTTTATACAAATGCATACATTGATTATAGCTTTACTTTTTATATACAATCTTATAAAAAATATATTTTTAAAGTTTTTATTTTTTTTAATTCTAAATTAATATTTCGGTTCAAATTATTATAATTTTTTTTATTTAAGATCCAATGCATCCAAAAAATGAATCATGTCTTTTTAAGAAGAAATTTAGAAAAAAAAACATAAGAAAAAATTAATTTAGAAAAAAAATTAATTAAAAATTTTAAAAATGATTTTGTCCTAGCAGAAGCAACCGGCCATTCACATATTATTTGTAAGCGCTAGAAGAGCGTAAAGATGAGATGAAATCAATAGCCAAAACACACGGGCGGCTGGTGGGGGTGGGGGGACACAGGTGGCCTCTTTTTTCTCAAAAGAAATGGACTCTTCGAGTGGGCCTAGGTCAACTGACTCTGGCTAATGAATTTAGACAAAACGAGAGAGGATCAACAGTGAGGAAGATGACTCGCCTCTTCCATATGTCCAAGGTCGATGCATCGTAAGTCAAAGGTTAGTAAGAAATAGAGAAGGAAGATAGACACAGGAATCATGCTTGCTCACTTCATGAACATGCCGTAAACCCTGTGAACCTTTAAATTGCGAGAAAATACTAGTAGTTGCTTTTCAGTTGTCTACTTACTTCTGCTTTTCACTATGACCTGCATCTACTTCTCCTATTTATTGACATGATATCTTCATCATTTACAGAGACAATCCTGCTCCTTTTAGAAGCTCATTCCAATTATATTGCTTCTCTTTCTTTTGTGCAGTGTCCAATTGATCTATTCCAAACAAGTTTATACCAGATGGAAGCTGCGATTGACCCCTTCAAAACGAGTCATGTGCACTCTTGTTTTCACATAATCTTGTCTTGGCAATGTTTTTCATCCATCTCAACATCCACATCCCATACAAAATGAAACTACCTGCAGTCTCCCTGAAGCCAGGAACTAATCCAAACTCAAAACTGGAGACAGTCCTGTGAAAAAGAAAATTTCTAAATCATCTTACTGAAGATACATGAAGAGGCCACGATAAAAACAGGACTGCTGCGACGACAAGAGGACCTGACAATCACGATCGTTAGCATCTACTGGTTATAGATCGAAAGACTTGAAAGAAAACTAGGTCATTTTTTTCAAAGAAAATTTTTTCTTTGAAAGAAACATTTACTGAGATCAAAAGTAAACAAAAAAAGAAAAAAAGAAAAAAAAAGAAACGTAGCAACGCATGGAGACACAACATAAGATATTCATACAGTTTGTTAAAGTTGGTAAAGAAATATTTACAAAGGATTTTGTTAAAAAAATGGAAAAAAATTTAGCCATAAGAGAGAGTATGAAGAGAGACTTACCAGCAGCAGCATCTGGATACTTGAACACGTTCATTGCATCCTAACATTCTTGATGATGTTTCATTACGGATTATGACTCCAGTGATGCTTTTGTTCATGACAGCCGTAAAGTGGTTTTTTCGGCAGCTAGGACTAAATATTGATCCAACAAAAACATCTCCTTAAATATCCAAAATTCCAACTCTTTTGGAGGAAAGTATGTTACTACGACAAATAGAAGATTATTATCTCTACAGAAAGCCAATGTAGGTCAACTTAGGTTCTCTTATATTACAAAGACCCTAAGAATCAGTCATTATTTATCATCGGAAACATTAGGAGCTCTCACATGCTTTTTCTTGTTCTTCCAGAATTCATCTTTCTTCCTTTTCTTCTTTACTTTCAACATACCCATTTTGCTATTAATAATACCAAGTATAGCACTCTTGTCCTTCCTGTTCTTTATTGCTGCTTTTACATCCAATATTGCCCTAAGCTTTTGATAGGACTTGGCATCCGGCACCTTCCCACTTTTCACCATCATCTTGTGATAAAAAAATGCTCTTCTGAAATCACGAACTCGGACATACGCATAGATCATGGTCATATAAGTGATGGAATCAGGTTCTAGATTGAGGGTAGCCATTTCTTTCAATAGCTGAGGCAACTTTGAGTCTTGCCCTCCCCGTGCATACGCATTCATCAGCATGTTATATGTCATCACTGTTGGATGCAAGCCAAACTTCTTGAATTCATTTATCACATCCCTTGCTTCCATGTAGTGACCTTGTTTGGCAAACCCATCAAGAAGAATGTTAAATGTCACCCGTGTCCCTTCGACTTTTTCACTCATCATCAATTTCCAAAGGTTCATCAATGTTTTTGTATCACCAGCACGCCTGAATGCATCTAGAAGGGTTGTGTAAGTTTCAATAGATGGTTTGATTCCTTCCCTTTGCATATTCTCAAACGTTGTATAAGCCTTCTCATGCCAGTCACTAACTGAATAAGCATGTATAAGAGCAGTATAAGAATATGAAGTAGGTTTTATACCAACTTTCTTCATTCTCAAGAACGCATCTGCAGCCATATCACTCATTTTCTTCTGTCTTCCGTAAGCACTGATCAGGCATGTATAGGATTTGGAATTAGGTACTAATCCTGCATCCTGCATTTCCAGCAGCAGTTTCTCTATTATATCAGGCTGCATTCTTCTGCTGTATGCGTCCATAAGTATATTAAAGGTAGCAGAAGTGGGCTTCAGGCCTTTTGACTTCATCTCAGAATAAAGACCTTCGGCTTCTTCAATTTGGTTGGATTTGCTATAGGCATCCATTAATGTGTTATAGATGATAGCATTTGAAGAGATGCCTCTTCTCTCCATTTCTGTCTGGATAACAAGGGCTTCATTCTTCAGTCCCTCGTCACAGAATGATTTTATTAGAGCTCCTAGAACTTCTGGACTCCATTTGACTCCTTTCCTGGTCATTCTCTCAAAGAATTCCCATGCCTCTTTTGCAGTACGACCCCTTTTCCTCAAGATTGTAATCATTATACAGCATGTCACATGATCTGGAGAAACATTATTCACTTCCATAGCCTCATACACCTCATAAGCATCATTATGCCTGATATAAGATGGTAGACATAAAAATAAGCCCTCACAGCAAACAAAATCAAATTTGTGTTTTCATATGGAAAACCAAACCAGATGCAGAGTTGCATTGGCAACAGTTAAGCCTGGACATCAATAAGATTTTGGGGGGGGGGGGGGGCAATGATATTCATGAAATAATTCCAGACTACAAGGAAAAGAAAACCCAAAGCAATCTTTTGATCATTATTTATTGAAGTGAAGAATTCTTTGACGAGGAAAAGCATGATCTGAAAAACAAACTGATCAAGCTGACTGCCAATACTCAAGGCAGCTTATAATTGGTCATCCAGCTACAAGCAAGCAAAAATTAAAGAGTTGACAAAACCTACTAGGCAACAATAATATTCACTTCCAGAAAAGCAGACACTAACAAGTTATTATCTCAATTATATCATACACATGCACAACTGCAGTGGAGGCACGGTTATGCGACACATAAAAACAACATATCCCAAACACCCAACAAAGCATCATGCTAAAATAACACGCTATAGTCTTTGTATTTGGCAACAGATAAAAGACATTCGGAAATTCCGATTGCAAAATTAATAAACATTAACCACATTACTCAATCTACACAAAGAACAGTTCATTATTGACACCCTAAAGTAGCACACACGATTGCGCATAGATGAGACTAAAAACCAATGCATCAAGACAAAAGAACCAAACTTTATATACCTTCCACAGCAGAGAAGACCAGAAATAGCAGAATTGTAAACATGAACATCTCGAAACTCCTTCTGTTGAGGCAAATTCCCGAACAAAATCACCAACTTATCACACATTCCAGCTCTTCCCAATATTGGAAACAAAACAGTACAAGCACGAGCAGTAACTAAAGATGGTTCTTGCAACCCCATCCACTCATAAAAATACAAACAACCCATTAACAGACCCTCCTCTCCCATCAACCCCAATATTTCCACACTCTCTTTAGCACTAACCCTCCCTTCATAACCACTCAACATCTCTCCCAAAGTCATATTCTTCGGTACCTCCCTAGCAATTTTCAATATTTCTCCTACAACTCCATCAGGTAATGGCCCAGAAACAGAACTTGGAGTACCAATTTGTTGGATTTCTTCATTTTGAGCGTCTGTATCAAACCGAGGGGCTAGGTGCCATGAAGAGCGTCTGTTTTTTTTAAGAGCGAATTTGCCTTGTTGGGGTGGGTCTTGAGTTGTTGAAGTTTGAGACTTGAAGAATCTTATAATTGGGTCAATAGGGTCCTCTTCTTCTCCTCCTCCTCCTCCTTTTTCTTTGTCCACTTCATTAGTCCCATCATTATGTTGTGTTTGTATTGTTTCTGGGTGTTCAACTTCTTGTTTTTCTTGTTCGAGAAAAGGAAGGAAAATGGAAGGTGAAGAATGAGAAAGGGAAGGAGGAAAAGTTGCAGAGAGAGAAAATGATCGTCTTGAGGGTTTAGAGAGAATGGAAAGATTAGGTTTTGAGTAGTTTGGATTTGGGTGAGGATTGTGAAGCAAAAGAAGAGAAGAGGCTTGAGTTCTGAGAGAAGCAGCAGCAGCCATGGCATGGCCTTCTTTTTTGCTGGATTAGGCTGCTCCTCTTGCTGCTTCACTCTCCACATACACAAACACAAGCAAGTAGTAGTAGTTCTTTTAGGCGGCCAAACGACAACAACATGTTTTTCTAACAAACAAGGGAACCTCTCAGACAGACATGTCGTTTATGTTTGACAAAATATCGCCAGGCCTCTGCATTTACTCAAACTTGCTTACAACTTTTCTATTGGATTTTTCTGAAATTTTATCTTTCACTCAATTTTTATAGATTTTTACTAACTTGTGTGAATTTTTTCTTTAAAATATTTTGAAGAGAGATCTAGCATTGCAGTGAAAAAAACCGAAGGTTTGAATAAAAATCTTTGGATATTTCACATTTTGAGATTGAAGTTACCATCTTTTGAACAAATGCCTCCTGTCAACTTGCAGTCATTTTCCGGAACCCACCAAATAGATTTAATAATTTCCTTTGCAATCAAAAAATGAACAAACAGAATAAAGGTTTCACTGCACACTCAAAACTAAATCTCAGCACTCCTTGAGATATCTGTCCATGGCATTACACCAACCCCTTTTAAATTTAACACTCTTCATGACAAGGAAAGTTGCTTAAAGATTTATCTTTCTATATAAAGGGGCTGTGACTTGAGAGCATCAGATTTTTTGTCACCTCTGTTTACTACTAGACCATGTTGGGCCTCTGTGGCAGGAGAAGATTATAGAACTTGTCATGTAAAAAGAAATTCCTTCCCTTGCTATCAACAGCCTTTTTCCATCCGCACCATCCACCATTTACAATTTTCTTGTGATCGTCATTGCCGGTATAGTGAGGATCAAGTATTAGAAATGCACAATCTCCACTGGCTTCGTTGTAATCAACTCCAAGAAGGGTGTATGCAAGGACACCACCACCTACGTTCACATAAAACATAGTAAGAGACTAGAATTTTGGTTATTCAGTTTCTATATTTCTTCTTCCTGGTAGAACACTATACAACACCTACAGCACCGTGCGGAAAGCCAAACAGAATTGTATATCTTACCAATGGGAGAAAGTTTAAAGGTGCCATCTTAAGTTGATCGATCTTTACATCAAGAGAAGATACACTCAATAGCAAACAATTGGGAGAAAACATGCCTATATATTTTATCTGCTTACCAATCATAATAGGTGTTCCTTGATTCTCAAAGTGCAAGGCCAGCTCTCGACATTTTTCAGGTAGCTCAGCTCCTGATCTAACATTTATGATTCTGGAACTTACCTGTTAAACACAGAAAATCATCCCGTCAAACCCAATGATGGAAAGTAACATTTTCCCATATTCTGTGCATATTTACAAGAGTATATAGACATCCAACTTAAAACCCTCAATATCAGTTATGAAGCTTTTGACACTGGATAGCATGCATACTTACGCCAAGAAGTTTATCTAAAACAAAGCTCAACTCAATAGCACCAATCCATTCATGTGATCCAATAAAAGACGGATCTTTATCACCAATCTCGACAAGTGATTGTTGTATTTCCCTACAATAAGTGCTGGTTTATCAGAGAAAATCACATATTGAAGCCAGGCTTTTTCAATCAAGACAATAAGACCAACTGAAGCATATAGTAAAGATAGTCTTAGAAACTCCAAAACATCCAGGTATTCATACCTATGAGAAGGAACATCAATGGATGTGTAATATTGGAGTCTGAACCATGAAATGATAGTCTGTAGAGAGCGATAAGCACAGCCCCAGCCCTAACAAGCACATGATGGACATGGAGTTAGGAATAAAGTATAAAAGATGACCTCGCAAAAACAATTTTAGTTGCAGAAATGACCTTTGAACCAATAATTGTGCTATTAAGCATCACAAAGGTTAATGTTCTTTAATAAGATATCCAGTTATCATTAGAAGAATAAATCAGACAAAAAAGGACAAGAAGTCCTCCACATGCAGATTAAGTACCGTAAAAAAGAAATCGTAAAGACAGAAACAAGACGAAAACATGGTAAAATGACCACTGGAAAATAGTGACTCAGTAATTCCCTAAAAGCGTCAAAAAACACAAGTGATCCAACACAAGACCAAAAAATGATTGAATAAGCCTTGAACATAGTGACTCAGGAATTCCCTAAAAGCGTCAAAAAACACAAGCGATCCAACACAAGACCAAAAAATGATTATATAATCCTTGAGACGCTTTCCTTCCACATTAGCAACACTAGATGACACTATAAGGAGGGGCGGTATCATTTACCCAACAGACCAAAGTTCCCACACAACCAGCTTAAGTGCCACACTGCCACTACATTATATAAGTCCTCTATTAGAGATTAGGCTGGACGTTCAAAACAAAAAGTCTTTGAGAAAGAAAGGAAGCTTCATTACCGAATCATCAAAGCCATCTTGAAGATAGTGATGGTATTCATAAGAACCTTGAACCAGAGAGACAACGCCCCCTGAAACTGCATAAAAAGTATGACTTCAGTAAAGATAGGGTTGAGGAACAGTGGGCAGCAGAAAAATAAACAACAGCAAGCACTGACCCCCACTACTTGGAATCCCAATGTGTACATCTTTGAGCAAAGAAGGGCCTGATATTATCATAGAATATGTGAAGTTAGTGCATAAGACACAGAGAACAAGTGATGAATACGAAAGGGAAACATGACAGGTAGATGCCTGTAGCAACTCATGCAGAATGTTTCCCATTTGAAACTAAACATTTACCTTTTCGTTTTGAGCTGTTTCCCGAACCATCCTTCATCATCGAGAAATCTAGAGCATTAGCAATTCTTAGAAGGGGACGATCAAAAGGTAATCCTAGCCTCACATGTAAAGATCTTCTGACTTCAACTGCACAAAAGCAAGTTCAAGTGAATTAATGGAACACAGGATTCACACATGTTGGCAATGAGAAAATTAAGAGTAGACCAAACTACAACATAGAATCTGCCCAGGTTCATCTTTGAAGTTATTCACTTGATAAAAATATCTCCATGAAAACAACACCCAGGAATACTGGTATTAAAGATACTCTGACATGTATGCGAGCTTCTTATGAACTGATATTGCTGCATACGCAGGCTAAAGGCCCATTTAACATACTAATCAAGAGCTTTTTGGTATCATCAACTGCCTAAGTGATGAAGTCAATCAATATCATGGTGATTCAGATTCTATATGTGCTACTTCAAAACCATTGAAAAAGGGAGGAATCAATTTTGGTTGATAGCAACTGCAACCATCAAGGATAAATTTTTTTTATAAGGTCAATTCTCTTTGACTGCAGAAAGTTTGGTTTTGCCACTGCTTAGTGCTTACCTTGTTTCAATTCTGTCTCCCCATAATTGAGTTCATAGATAACCGTTATTGGATGCAACAGCCCAGGTGGATTAAAATGATATGAACATAGCTGCGAAGAAAAATAAAACTTCCTTCTTACTTGCAGAAAAAAGAACGTGTACAGAATACAATTTCCAGGAAAGTAGTTATTTAATAGATGACATAATTTTTTACATTAGCAACAGGGATCTTTAGAATTAGTGGGCAAAAAAGGCAACAATGGCAAGGACAACTTACTCAGGTCAATTGTGGTGACAAAAGCACATGGTTTGCTTAATTACATATTTACAAATGAAGTTATTATGGTGTTTTGTCTGAATGATCTTTTAGAAATTTACTGTAATAGAAGCATATTCATTTCATAATACTGTTTTATGAACTGGATGTAACCTGTACTTAGTTTTTAGTAAGGATGGAGCTATACAAGAAATCTAGGACTTTACTGAAAAATTTTCTGAAACGTATGCAATGAAAAGCTAAATTCTATAGTTTTTAGTAAGGATGGAGCTATACAAGAAATCTAGGACTTTACTGCAAAATTTTCTGAAATGTATGCAATGAAAAGCTAAATTCTTACCACCATTAACTACTCTATGGTGGTTCTAATAAATGTGTTCCGTAGAATAAAATGTACCTCTCTCCCTACTCTGCTAAAACTCAACAATTATATAGCTTGGCTATTTTATATCAGCTTGCAGATAACACAAGCATATGGTTTGTTTTTCAAATGCATTAAGAACATAATCAGGGAGAAATCTACAAACATGGAATTGGCTGACCCTTATGCGAACCATGAATTCAAAATCCAACTGTTAGTATTTGCAGGGGGGTTTCATTGTACTTCTATCCATGTCTCTGAGAAGGGGTGGGTTCAACGGTGAGAAAGGGCAAGACCTAGGCACTATTCAATACAATAAATTGATTCTCACCTGAGGGTGTTGAGTTAAAAGTTTGGGCAAGACTGTCTTTTTCATTGAATTGAACTGGTCAACTAATGCAGGAATGATCAACTTTGAAACTGCAGACATCAGCAGAAGATCCTTGGCTGCATAGCACAGCACTTCTAGCTCAAAATCCACAACTAAAAGTCTGGCTTCTTCAAAAGCTGAAATCACAAAGTTAATTTTGCATACAGTTAGTTAAGGCATGAAACCACTGAAATTAACAAACAAACTAAAAGAATAAGGATTGTAACTGTTCAAGTACTGTTCATATAGACTCAGTTGTACTATGCATGTTAACAGTGTTTTTTTTCGCGTTTTCTTTGACTGTTTGTTAAATTATTTATACTACAACAATTGTTATCCAAATGCACTGAATGTAGACAAAAGAGTAAGTACTTAAGATTGAAGCTGATACCTGGAAAATATTCTGCAAATGGTGCTGTGGATTTAGGGGACTTTCTAGATCTATTGGACAGAACACTCACTTGGATTACGCCTGCATTCTAAGAAGAAAAACTTTCAAAAAAGAAAAAAAAACAGGGGAAGAAAAAAAGAGAAAATAAAAAAGAGTGCTGGTCATTTGTTATATGTCAAGATGAAAGCAATGCCAGATCAGACAAACTGTCTAAGAAATCAAAACTATTCAAGAACCCCACTTATCTCCAACATGAAAATTATGCTGCAAGAAACAAGAAGATGCTATTTCTTTACCTCTGCAGAAATCAATCCCAGGGAAGATTTACTTTTCAAACAAAAGTGTGAGCAAGTCAATTTTTTTGCATCAGAATCTTGAGAAGCTTTGTTGTCCACAAGCTTGATATTTGCGAGATCTGTGTTAAAATCCAAGTCTACACCATGGAGGATGACAGGTTGAGGTACATCTGAAATGTCTTTGCTTAATCTTTCTACCATGTAGGTAACCTGCGGATCTTTGAACTTGCTAACAACTGCTTCACCTGCACACAAGTACATTTTTTCTGCATCTGAAAGACAACAATAGGACCCTTTAACGAGTATTACTAAAATTGTCTGATGTAGATAACATGCATATGTACATTTGAGAAGAAACTAAGAAGAAAACGTCAAATAAACTAGGACATATTTTCAGAAAGAAACAACTCAATTCACCAGCTCACAAAGCCTTCAATTCTAACTCCCTGAAGCCACCCCTAGGTCACATGCTCCTCCAAACCCCTAACATTCATGTGCCTTTGCACTTACCACCTTAAACTAAGCATATTTTCAGCATCAGCTTGAACTAAACCACTCCTTATCATTCATGCATTATTGGTCCTTATTGCACATCTAAGGTGGATAATTTTCTCTTAATCATTGTCCTTTTTGAACCTATCATACCTCCACTATCCTTCACGTCCACAAAATCACTTTGACAAAATGTATTAGTTTGAACACATTAGCAAGGACCTTTCATATAACTTCCATATCAAAGTCTCCACTGATAGTAACATTCTGTTAATAAGCAAAATGAGCAAAACTTTTTTTTTTTCTCTATTCTCCACATACATATCAATTATCACCTCAGTGAAAAACCTTCCATCCTTTGGAAATCCCTTAGTCTTGTTTCTAGTACCATTTTCGAAACTAACTAGAGATACAGAAAGTAATTAACAAATCACTGAATTTAAATTCCCTATATCTTAATTTAACAAGTTTCAAGAAAGAAAGAAAGAAAAATACATAAAAGAAATAATGACTTAAAACTCACCAGTCTCATTCTTCACCGGAATAAAAACAGGCATTTTAATGGGAAGGTTACACCGAACCAAACACCCTCTCTCCCAAACAAACTTCTCCGGACTCTCTTCATAAACAACACTACTAACAGCCTTCACATTCCCACTTCTCTCCACAAAAAATTTAACACTACCAGCCCCGCCGCCACTCAAATCCGCGACCGCACCAATCAATTCTCGATTCTCCAATTTCTCTCCCCCTCCACCAAAAACAAGCTCTCTCAATTTCCTCGCCGCACCAATCGCCTCGCGAGCATTCTTCTCAACATCAGAACTTGAACCACCAAAAATCAACCCTCCGATTACATCAAATCCTTTTATCAACAGCGTCCGCAAGTCGTCTGTGACAATAAAAAGATTGAAAAAATTAAGAAAATTGTGAATTCTATGAAGTTTACTAAATGGAGAGAGAATTATTACCTGATTCTTTGATGAAATCCGGAGAGGAAGAAGAGGTGTGGATGGATTTGAAGGTGGAAATGATAGTGAAGGGAGGGAAAAATGGAGATCCAATTAGCCATTGTAGACCTGCTTCGTTTTTGGTTAGTATTAGTTTAGAGCAAAGGATGTTTATTGTATCGTCATCGCTTACCTTCTCCATTGCTTTCGTTTCTTCAAGCTCGGTGCGTTTCTTTCCTTTTGACTTCACTCTGAGTCTGTTAAATTTCCTTTGGGCCTTTAAGATGGGCTACATATGGCTTATTGACTGGGCCTTCAACCTCTCTAGTATTATTCTATTGAAAAAGATTAGAAATCTGAGTCTGTTAAATTTCTTCGTTGTAGTTTGGGCCTTTAAAATGGGCTACTTATGATTTATTGAATGGGCCGCCAACCTCTCTAGTATTATTTGATTGAATAAGATTTTAAAGCATGATTATTTGAAAAGCAAAATAATAATAATAATAATAATAATAATAATAAATTAAATTAAACAATGGAAGTAGATATATACATATTATTTTTTATTTTTTCTATAAAAAAACATGATCTAAAATAAATAAACAAATTCAATGAACATATTTTATGGATCCCACTACCAGAACTATTAGAACTTAAGTTGCCGTATAACTAGTAAAACTCTAAATTTCCATCGTCATGTGAATGCGGTTGAATTCTTTGAACGACACATGGATTCATATGCGCCTGCTTGGATACTAATAGAGTTTTTACCAATTTTTTTCCACTAATAGTATGGCAATTTTTAACATACATACTGTATAATTCAATCATGAACAGTATAAAATTGATTGTTATGAATCATGAAAGACACATTGATTATACTAACTAGATTTTTTACTCACGTTACATTGCGGATAATATATATATATATATATATATATATATATTATTTTGATGTTTCGTGTTATATTATGCGTCTAATAAAATACATCAAATAAAAAATTCAGATCAAACAAAATAGATAAAATTATTTCATTTTGATGTTCCGTGTCATATTATGCATCTACCAAAATACATCAAATTACTAATTAGATTTTTTACTCACGTTACACTCGAGATAAAAAAAATACATAAAATTATTTCATTTTGATGTTCCGTGTCATATTATGCATCTATCAAAATACATTAAATTACAAACTAGATTTTTTACTCACGTTACTACTGCAGATAAAAAAAATACATAAAATTATTTCATTTTGATGTTTTATGTCATATTATGCGTCTACCAAAATACATCAAATAAAAAATGAATAAAAATTCATTCAATTTTATAATTTTTTAATTAAAATTTTGTATTTTACTGACTATTCTTTATATTTTTTTCATAAACTTTTTATTAAAAAATATTATTTATTTATCTTTATCCATAAATAAAAAATTTTGTGATAGTATAAAGAATGTCAAAACCAATGAATTCTTAGCTAAAAACTTATTTTGTAATTTTTTAAACATTTTTTTGCCTGATTTTTTTATTAAGAAAAATTAAAGAAAAAAGGACCAAAATAAAAAAATCAAAGAAAAAACAGCCAAAATGATCAAAATAAAACAAAAAGGGACCAAAACCAAACAAAAAATATAAAGAATGTCAAAACCAATGAATTCTTAGCTAAAAACTTATTTTGTTATTTTTTAAACACTTTTTTTGACTGATTTTTTAATTAAGAAAAATTAAAGAAAAAAGGACCAAAATAAAAAAATCAAAGAAAAAACGACCAAAATGATCAAAATAAAACAAAAAAGGACCAAAACCAAACAAAAAACATTTACCGATTCAAAAAATAATATTAAAATAATAATAATAATAATAATAATAAAACGTTACAAAAACTTTCCTTAAATTTTTTGATTAAAAAATCAGATAAAAAATGATCAAATTTAAAAATAATAATAAAAAAAAAGAACTAAAGTGATCAAAATAAAACAAAAAAAAATATTTACAATTTGAAAATACAATATTAAAAAAAAATCAAAGTATAATATTAGGAAAACTTTCATAATAAATTTTAAAACAATATTTAAAAACTATAAAAATACTACTGCATTGAGAAAAAATAATGCATCTAAGCCTAAATAAATAGTGAAATAAATCTAAATGATGTATTTCAAGTAGTTAATGAACAGAGAACCATCATTTTAGATAATTAATATGATTTTAAAAAAATTTCCAAATGAATTTGTCACATTAGTTAAGTCAGCATAAGAATTCCAAAAAAAATGTATTCAACGATCACCAGTAAATGTGGCATTCCCTTCCAGTGTCCTTCCACATCTCATTGATCATTATTTCAAAGCTGACTGTTAGCTAGTAATTTTGGAAGTTCTGAACCTGGAACAGGTTCCCAACAATTCACAATTTCAGCCATAACTAGCAAACCTTAAGTTAGTATGAAGCATGCGATGGCAATATGTCAGTCACTGATCAACTAAAGAATTGATTGCTACTTATGCCTCTCAAAGTTGACCCTCAATTTTGAAATTAACTACATACTGAAACTACTTAAAATTGGAAGATCTATGATATTCATTACTGTAGAAATTATAACTTTAAGCATATATATATATATATATATATATGTTGTTTGTTCATTTCACAGGGAGCACTGATATGCAGAGTTCTGTTAATATATATATTATATGCATACAAAAATGGGCAATGTACAAGCATATTTGAAGCTCCTCTGCAGCCAACACAAAGTAATGTCATCTGCCCCATATAGCAGCAGAACTACTTGGCAGAGGCACACGGAAGAACCCAGCTAACCAAAGGTGATCTTCGTTGCTGATGTGCCGACTCCCAAGCCTGAAACATGGCACACCTTTTACTCATAAACGCAACACTCAAGTCAATATAGAATGTGATATGCTAGCCATATTTTGTTAACTCAGTCATGTTTCCAACTTAGAGAAGTTGAATATTCGCCGTGCACGTGATTTGCGGTATGCAAAACTCATGGCCAACAAATAGCCAACTGAAAAATACATGAACAGAAAGAAAATTCCCCAAAGGAAACGAGCATCCAATTATATATACCAGATTAACACTGGCCATTAAACAATTTTCAAGACATTTCTAGTTTCTAAAGCGTCTTTAGTTTTTACCTTGTTTGCTGGAAATTGGGGGGTTCTCCAACAAAGAGAAACTGAATCCTCCCTTTGCCTGCCAAATGAGAGATTAGGGAATTTGATGAGTACTTCAGTGCGGATTACAAAAAAAATGAATACACAGAACAAGAAAGAGCAATCTTTCAATGAAAAGTTGAGTTTATGCAACATCGCATTTCCACTAAATTAGAGAAGACTTGACGAACGTCTCATCGTTGAATTGATCATGATACACAGTAATGTTATAAACTTTACTCGCTGCACAGGCTTAGTTTTTTATCAGGGAGACAATAAGAAATTGTCATCTAGGAAATAGATCTTTAGGAGAATGTTTGCAATAAACTTCCATTATTCAAGTAATCTTGTGTGAGTTCCCCAAATTTATCTATTTATGGGCTTTTAGCCAAGAACAGACTCTGCTTAGGCTTAAATTCTAGTGCATGCAGTGCGCTCAATAGCTAAAATGCTGTAAGTACAAATGAAACGGTATGCTAGGAGAGCTCTTACCCATTCTCAATTGTGGAGTTGTAGTCATTGCAATCATTGGCTTGAGTGCATGTTTCAATAGATTTCTTCCCAGGGATAGACAATGCCAGCTGGTTCTCTAGATGATTACCTATACAAACCGCTTGAGTATTCTCTGAAGCACGTAACTTCTTTTGCAGCATGAGACTTCTAGGAAAGCAGTTCGGTTGACCCTCAGCCTCTTGGCTAGAAAAAATTGTACGGTCAAGGTCGTTTCCCCCAGCCTTTGAAGAAGGAAACCCATACCCAGGGGTTTTAGATGTATCATCAGGTAGTGATCTGTGAGATGAGGTAGTCCCTATGCTCAGCACATTCCCTTCACTATTTCTCAGAGCCCCCTGCACCATTTCCACACTGCGACAACAGTTGTGTGGTATTTGAGATCCACAATCAGAGGGACAAGCTGAAATAGCTTTCTCCCTCATCATAGTCTTTCCAGATATGTGATCATAGTCAGCGTCACTTCCACATTCCATGGGTGGTTCTGACTTGTGCTGTCTTCTCCGAGAACAACCAAACAAACTAAACGATAGCTTCCTTAATTTCCCACACTTTGACACAGGAGCACAAAGTACAAGATTGATCCGAATTTCAACATTACAACCCAAAATTGTTTGCAGAGAACTTGCAATGAGCTTCCATGACTTTTCAGCCTTAGATGCATAGTCAGGATGATGGAATTCCAATTCAGCTACTGCCAGACCTGAAGTGCAATATGGGTCAGCCATCACTTGCAAGATAGAGAAACACATTCCATGCATTCAAAAAATTTTATTATGAAGCTGGAAAAGAGAACCCTTCGAGCAAAGATGAGATATATTCTAGCAACGTTTACAGGATTTATGGAGGAAGAAAGCAATCAATATGGCAGATGTCACTATGCCTTCGCAACTTTCAGCTTGCTGATATAAGCAACTGAACCATGGTAAAAGCAAGCTTAATGAAAAGATTTGTAACAGCAAGTCAATTAGCCTGTTTGTGTAATAGCAAGTAATTATTTGGATAGGCCTCCCTAGTTATGGTGTAATCTAATTTTTATACGGTTTTGATGCAGTAGACTGACATAAAGGTTGGTTACAAATCCATTGTTTGAAAGTCAAGTAGTGATAGCAAAGTACATGTATGGCCAATCCTTCATGTTCTAAGTGACAAAAGTACAGTAATTGTACAAGGAGAAGCTTAAAAAAAATACCACATGCATTGTACCTCTATTAACATGAAGAGAAGATAGTTTCCCTTGTTTCCTTAGAAAATCCCCGAGTGAATTTGATTGGCATAATTCACTAGCTCTCTTCCATATGGAATCTAATGTCACTTTACCATCCCCTGGTACTTGCGATTTTAGCAACTTACTGTCTTCACATGAAGAGAGGGCAAGATGCTTCAAGCTCTCCCCAGTGGATGGTGGGCTAGAAAAGTCCCCATCTGTATCCACAAGAATGGAATTTAGATGAAAAATCTATTCCACTAAACAATAGGGACTTTCTCAAACACAGAGAAACAAAGAGAACACACTAAAAAATGAACTGAATAATACAAAGTCAATTAATCAGTGCTTGTGGGTAACATCTGACCTCTGTCATGTCCATTTCTCATTGAAGACTTTGAATCATTCACATCCACGGACGAAGCTTCCAGTGAGCTCAACTGCAGGAGAGCTACTGTGAGCCATGTACTTTGGTTTCTTGACATCCTCAGTTGCTTCTCACTCTCAGAAAGTATTTTCAATGCATGACTCAGTCTCTGCATGTCCCCTTCAGCTGTAAAAGGGAAACTTGCAACTTTCAGCATATAAAAAGATATGAAAATATAGTGTAATATAGTGACGAAAAAAAGTGGATGATACAACTAAAAATAAAAAGGGTGAATATGTACATCTTGAAGTAGAAAACAATTTCGTGTAGGCAAAAAATCAGTACGGCTCCAAGCATATATAATGCTATGCATGGGGCCATGTACAGCCATTGTCTGTACACATTGTGACTAGTCACTGATGATTAAACTGGCGCCAAGCAGTTTGACCTGGTAAATGTCATTAGCCAAATTCATCATGCCATGCTCAGTGGCTTTAACCGACAAAGAGTCAACTTGCAAAGCCAGAAAGAATGCACAGTGCAGACCGAATAAGGGCTCTGAGTACCATTTGCGAAGCATTCAAGTAAATGTTACTAACAATAACAGCAGTAAATGTTACTACTTACAAGCATGCTTCCTTGAAAACTTTCTTCTGACTTCAGAACTATCATCTTGGCATTTACCAGCAAGAACATCCATTATGAGATTTGCGAGCTGTGATACAAGTTGCATAGGATCAATCCTCGACCTCATCAACTCCCTGGCTCTTATAACAGTGCTCGAAGTGTCAGATGACAAAGCCAGATCCAGCAAATCAAGCAATTCATCATCAGAAACCACTCCAATCTGCACATTATCATGACCAACTTCTATTAATTCGATGGGAAGAAATATGCAATAAATATTCATAAGGAAAGAGAGCACTCACAAGCTCATGGGCCAAGGACATTGTAATTCTTTTACCAAGCAAACTCAATTGATCGAGCATAATTTCTGCATCCCTAAGGGAACCACTTGACTTCGCAGCAATGAAGTCTAAAGCAACCTGATCAATGTCAAGACCTTCTTCAACACAGATATTCCTCAATCTGTTGGTTATATCAGCATCTTTTATCTTTGGAAAATGATACTTTTGAGACCGAGTGACTGCACTTCTTGGTAGCGTATCAAGTTCAGGAGTGATCATCACAAAGACAACATTTTGAGAAAGGTTCTCTAGGCTATTCAAAACAGTTGCCCATGTCTCTCCATGCAACAAATGACACTCATCAACAATGAAAACTTTGAAATGTGATGAAATCGGTGGCAATGATGCATTCTTAATAAGGGATCTAGTCCTTTCAGCCCGATTAATTCTCACAGAGTCCACTTCCTTCACATCCCGGTTCCTTCCAGAAAAGAAGGCGACACATTCTCGGCAGAGACCACATGGCTTGTACTCCTTATGTGAGAGGCAATTCAGGGCAGCAGCAAATATCCTCGAGGCAGAGGTCTTGCCAGTGCCACGAGGACCATGGAAGAGATATAGAGAGGTTACCCTTCCTCTAGAAATGGCACCCAAAAGAGACCTTACCACCACATTTTGTCCCACCAATTCATCAAAAGATTTTGGCCTAAATTTCTGACTCAAACTCCTAGGAGTTTCATTTGTAGTGTGCTTCCAGCTCCTCTTCCCAAAAGGAGTTGTCTTAGCTACATCCCTGGACAACAATGGATTGCCTTCTGCATCGGAATACGAATTTGAATCCCTGAGTCTTGGGGTTCTTGTCCAGCAGCAGCTCATCCCACTTCCACGGTCATTTTGAACCATGAAATCAGCTTCTTCATTTGCAAACAATGATGTGCTATGGCTAGACAAAGCATCACTGACAGATAAGCATGGACTGCCCACACGACTCAAAATGTCACCCACCGCACCGTATGACTTCACTTGATTTTTGTAGCGAGATTTTCGTCTTGGCAAAGATTGGTCCGTACTTTCTCCTAGTGAAGATCCTGCAATAGGGCCATTAGTTGAATCCATGTCCTCCAAGTGATTGCTCGAAGACGTGATGCATACCAAGTCCAACCCTTTGTTCCTAGGACCGCCATAATATTCTTCACTTAACGACTTGGTTGCATTAGTCTCTTCCGCACAACTATCCAATCCTTGAACCTTTTTGGTTCTACAAGGAGCATCCATATTTTTCACCCCACCCGAATTCTCACAGAAAATTAACTTGGAATTTTCCATTTCACGTTGCAAATCAAAATTATCAATTTGTTCCTCCCTTTGTCCATCAAGACCTAAATTTTTCCATCCTGAAAGACCATTATGGTTCGAGCCACCTTCTTTGGAACCATTGACAAACTGTAAAGATATATCTTTGGAGGAATTTGTTTCCCAGTTGGCATTTTCCAGTAAAACAGAGAATTTGCTCATAGAATTGGTTGATGGATCCCTTAGTGACCTCACTCTCCTGAGAGCTATAAGGGTTCTTGTGATGGGAATATCAACAGAATGTCGCCGCCCATCTGCCATTTTCCAAAATCAAATAGCACCGAGTAAGAAATGAATTCCTTTGGCCCACTCCAAAATCAAATCTCAGGATCCACCACCAAAGAGAGCTGCATTCCCATCCTGAAAGAACAAAAATCCAGACATTCTAGATAAGAAACAAGTCTTCATATCTTATCTATTCAAAACACATCATCACACAAACATAATGAAGCCTAAATTAATTAAAAAGAAAAAGAGGGTGGGGGGACCTCAAAACATTTCCAGGACCAAACAAGACAATCATACCCTTTTATCTCCTGTTCACTCTGTAAAAACCCAAAACCATATAGAACGGAAAAATGCATAGCATCAAAAGATATTATAAATGGGTTTTTTATAGTAACCATGAAGAAATAGTAATTATATAATAACAATTAAGCTCCTCAATCCCGTTTTCGTTTTCGTTTTCATCAAAGGAAAATCAGCATTAGCAAATGTGATAAAAAGAAAATGAAGTAAACAAGTTTGAAACAAAAAAAAATAAAAATTGGCATGCAAAATGCAGCACGTTTTATTCATCAACCATTTTTTTGAAGTACCTTTTGCCTACAAGAAGCACAAAAGAGAAGAGAATTACGGTTTATACATGACGCTTGATGAAGAAGACAGACCGTACAGCAGAAACACTAAGCGAATCCCATTCCTCTAAACAGAGAATAAACACGGGACTTAAAGTAAGAAATTAAGAGCAACCTTCATTAATAATAAATAAATAAAAACATACAGGGAGGGAGAGAGAGAGAGAGAGAGAGAGAGAGAATCCAAGAATTCAAAGAAAGAAGAATTAAAAAAAGAACAAGTAACAAAGCAAGATAGAAAACAAAGGAAGAAACGACAAACTTTGAGAAAACCAAAACAAAGCTGGAAATTAATTAGAAACGTCGCAGTACGTCGTCCATGGAAATAGAAAACATCGAAACGAGGAAATAGTGGACTAGTTGTAAGTAAGTAAGTAAGAAATGCGTAAAAGGCGGGATAGCAAAGACAAGGTCTTGGATTTTGGTCGTTGAAGTTGGTGAAGAAGATATACCGTAGTAGCTCCTTCAACTGCAAAACAAGAATCCTGTTTATCCAGTAGCAGGAGTAGGAGTAGGAGAAGTAGGTGACATTGATGGTAATAGCTGCTGCGGTTGACGTTGATGTTGATGTAGAGGTTGTGGTAAGTAACGAAGTGGTAAATGTAATTAATGACTCGAGATTTTGATTTTGATTTTGATTTTAAACAAAAGAAATCCATTGAGACAATATATATATATATATATATATATATATATAAGAGAAATATATTTTTCTTTTAAAATTTTGCAGTCTTCTTTTTTTTTTTTTTTAGTTGTATTGACAGAGGCAGAGAGCTGAGAGCAGAAGGGGTGGGGGACTGGGATTCTGGGCGTCTTCTCTTACCATTGTCTCTCTGTCTCGACAAGAGAGCCTAGCTGGACTAAGTGAGTGTGGTTTTTGGTAATTTTGCTTACGAATACCAATAGGATATTTGAGTCCGTTTCAGTTATTATTCGTTGGTGCCAGAAAGCTGCAACTCTGGTCCGTCTCTATGTAATCTCTATGTATTTCACTCTCTCACTTGGAGCGTTGTAGATCATGAAGTTGCTTACGAATACCAAGTTTTTATAAAAAAAAAAAATTTAAAAGACATTGTAACGTGGGATAATTTAAATTTATAAATTGGGTTTTGTTTTTGTACTAACCATTAATCCCCTTTTGTAAAAATATATATATATATGACACGACTGATGTCAAAAAAAATATCACAATAATTTTATAAGGATAGTATTTTTTTGGAGAAATATAAGAAATGATACTTTATTTTAATGGGTATTATGTCATTTAATATTTAAAAAATGTTTGGTGACACCATGGTGATAGATACTATTTTTAAAAATAGAAAGGGTTTAGGGGTAAATTTGAAAAGTAAAAATGTTAAATGACATAACATTTATTGAAATAAAGTATCCTTCATTGTATTCTTCCAAAAAAACACTATCCTTATAAAATTATAGTGACTTTTTCTTTGACACCACTTATATCATGTAGCACTACTCTTAACATTTTTACTTTTCAAATTTACCCCTAAACCCTTTCTATTTTTTGAAATGATGTCTGTCACCATGATGTCACCAAGCATTTTTCGTAACATATATATATATATAATTAATTAATTTTTCTTGCCAAAATTAGCCTCCAATATACTCCTATATTTTACCAATACCAACATAGATAATAGATAATACTAGTTAGGCACCAATGCGAAGTCATACAATTGTTACATACGTAACGTTAACAATTTTTATAGTGTAATATGAGTAGAAATCTTATTTTTGATGATTAACGTAAATCGAATATATATATATATATATATTTGATTTATATATATTTATTAACAAAATAACTAATAATATTAGTATAAAAATTTGTATTTGAATAATTGAGAAATTCTTTCAAAACATTATTTCAATTATTTTGTTTAAACATACGGATTTCAAAGCATGAAAAAAATAAATAACAAATAATTAGTGTTATGTATACGGATATATAGTTAATTTATAACAAAACTAATAATATACATATATAGCAGATTTAAAGTATATAGATAAAAATATATACAAAAAAATAAAACCAATCTAAATTATATGGAATATATCGAAGTGAATAGACTAAAATAAAAATTACCGCAAAATTGACTTTGATAAATTCTTACTTTATATATATATATAACCTATGAATTTTTTTAATTGATTATAAATTTTTTTTAAAAAATTGAGTCAAATTATTAAAAATACACTTTTAACTCGTCTCTCTCTCTCTCTCTCTCTCTCTCTCTCTCTATATATATATATATATATATATATATATATAATCAAAATTAATACATACAACTATACTACTCTCATTTAAAAATCATAAAAATAATCCATTGTATAAATAATAATAATATATTTTTAAAAATAAAACACTCACGTTCTAAATTTTTATTCCAAAATCCATATATAAAAAGAAAATTTATTAAAAAATAAATTTATATAAAAAATTAAAAAATTAATTTGATGAAAAATTTAATAAGAAACAAATAATTAAAGAAATAAATTTTAAACAATAAGAGTAATATAATCCGATATATATGTTCAACCTAAAATCTTAAAAATATCATATATATTATATCACCATCAAACTATACGTAAAACTAAAAAAAATGACAATATATTTTTTATATTTTTCACACGTAATTCCAAAATTTAGTAGTAAATAAAGATGCGAATCAAAATAAAATGTTGTATAATCCTATATATAGTTTTTAAAAATATATAAAAAATTATATATATTTCATAATCATGAGCTTTTATAAAAAAATAATAATTAGTTTTTCATAATCTTCACACCCAATTCAATAATTAAAAAAATAAATTGGTGGAAAAAATAAAGAAAAAAAGAGAATAAAAATAAAATTTTTCATAATTTTCATATCTAATTCAATTAAAAAACATAAATTAATGAAAAAAATAAAGAGGAAAAAAAAATAAGAAGAAGAAGAGGCAGGCCTACGTGCTTAACTTGGGCCAGCTGTAGGCCTAACGCATCAAACCAAGGACCAAGCAACTTGGAGGCTAAATTTTTATTTTAAAACTTCAAGGATCAAAATAAAATATTGAGTAAACTTAAATATAAAGGTCTAAAAACAGCTTTAAAAATCACAAAAATATACATCCAACTGTGACTTTCGCGTGACTTTTGCTTGAAAATCCCCACCTCTTTTAATAATCATTTATTAGTTACTAAAAATATTAATAAATGAATGTAGGTGGATTTGTTGATAAAAAGAAAGGGGGACCAATTGAAATAAAGGATTCAGGGACTGAAAGGCGCGTGGAGAGTGGTAATAAAAGTAGTAACTATCTAGCTGGTGTGGTCCAGGCTCCACAGGGAAGCTGCGGTAGCTATATTGAGCGTGAGAAAGATGATAAAACCGAAGTGCTGTGCATGAGGACCTGAACCGGGTCCATATGAGGCAAAGTCCTTTTTCAGAAAAGCTGTTAAAACGACCAACACTTTTTTCTTGATCCTCCTTTCATTTCCTTTCCTGCTGCTGAAGCTGTACAACACACACAGCTTGGCCTTGCCAGCCATGTGTGTGTAGCTACTGAGCACACGTACGTATCTTCAGTGCCTGCACGAGCGGCGCTCAACGTCCCTAATAATGTTGCCCTGCGTTTGCCTATTATCATGCCTCTTGCTGCGTGATTACAATCCAGAGATTTACTAACACTTGGCAGATGTTGACTTAAAGGAGAGGAACTAGATGAAGTGTAATTTTCTTGGTTCTGTTACTGCTTGAATAAATCGTAACAACAAAGACCTTACCCTTGTTAACCTAAAATGAGGCATTGAAGTAGATATGCTTGTTTAAAAAGCCTGTGAAGATAGGTTTCCTTTTTCACGTTTATTTATGCTATTTTTGAGTGAGCATGGTGCAATTGACATTTTTTTAAAAAAATCAAAAGACACCAATAAGATCAGGTTAACATGATATTCTTGAATAACCTTCGTTTACTATTTAATCATAATCTGCAAATTAATTTTTTATTCTACTAGGTTACCCTTTTAACTGTTACTATGCACAAGTGGTTGATATACAATGGGGTTTTTGCTAATCAAAGACTCATCATTTTAAATGAGCAAAAGCTGTATCATGACGGACTCTTTAACCATTCAACTCCATGCCCTCATGACTACCATTAAGATGGGTTATTTACGTCAATGGATTAAGTGCTAATAGTTGGAATTGATTAGGATGGCAATTCAATTCGTCCTGTCTCATTTGGGATGAAAATAGAACGTAAAATTTTATCCCGAACGAGATATAAGGCGGAAATAAGTTTTTTTTTTTTTTTAACGAAGATAAAAGGTAAAATTTCATCTCAAATGAGACACGAAACAAAAATGGATTTATTTTTAAAAGAACAGCAAAAATG